GAGGGGAGCGCTCGCCGAAAAATTGCCAAACGTCATTTTAGCCTGTTTGACAAAATACGGTCTTTAAAGTATTTTCGGAGAGCTCGGAAAACTAAATAAGTCAACCTAAAAAAAGGTCGCCAAAATTTTCAGTCGAAAAAACATTTCTGCGCACGGCAGACTACATTCATTGCTCTCAATAAAGAAATGTATTATACCTGGGAAAAGCGTCGAAGCACCATGTTCTACTGGTGTTTGGGAAAGCCACTCGCATGCCACTCATGAGTGGCGAGTGTAGAATGACTCCGGCACACTCCAGTCGGGAGGCCAGATCGACTGTGGGCACTGTGCCAATGCTCTGTCCGTAGAGAATGATCTTGTCTGGCAGCAGAGAGAACTTGGAGCGCATCGTGTGCCAGGCAGCATTGATGTCGGCGTACAGGTTCTTCTCTGAGGGAGCACCAGTGCTGCAGCCGTAGCCGGAGTAGTCATAGCCGAAGATATTGCAGTCCAGACGGGATCCTAGACCCAGGAAGAAACTGCTCATCTGGCCTATGTCCACAGCATTGCCATGGGAGTAGAGAATGGTGTACTTGGGGTTGAGGGAGGCCTTGACGTAGAAACATGCGATCTGGTTGCCTCTTGAGGTACGAGTGAAGAAGACGTCTATGAGGTCCTTCTCCCGCTCCTCGTACTGCCACTCTGCCCTCTCTGACAGCTGCAGCACACAGTGCTGAGACACTGGATCCTGCACTACACTGTACGTCTTTGCAGGGGGCAGGAAGGCCAGCTTGGCTGCAATCGTTGAGGGGAAAGGGGGACAGCAGAATAGGCAGCACAGATCACGCAACGAGAACTCAGAGGACATCCTCGCTCCCAATCTAACGCAAACCCCTTTCTAGCTTTACTTACTTCAGCAACGACAACCACACAATTGGCGAAAAGTCCAGCAAATAGAGAACTAAGGACAATTCCACTTTGAAACTGTTGCCTTGTTGTTGTAAGAATTGTTGAAAATTGAAGTTTCTTTGGTTTGAAGCACTGAACTTATTCCATCAGAATTCAGTAATAACTTCCTAAACTGTACAATATACCAAACCGATTAGTAAGTTTAGACTTCGAATTTACTCTTTCTCCTCTTTGTTGAGCGTAACGTTCTTTAGCTCAGATGAGGAGATTATTTAGTGCTATTGTAGACATGAGATTCAATCTGAAACGACAATAAGTCATGTAATCGTATTTTCAATTATTATAGGGGAACAGACAGATTTCGCCAAATTCAAAAAGTATATGAAACAAGACTACTAATTGGCACTGTTCCATTCTATTCTTAAAATCATCATGGAAATTCTTAACACAGAGGTGAAGCCGAGCTTCGCGCAATTTGCGGTACAACACACACCCTGAAGCTACTTGAAACAAAGCTACTGAGTCTAAAACAATGTCAAAAAACAGCATTAAAAACTTAATACATTTGTCTCGCATGAAATTCAATTTGAGAAAAACCTGTCGGAACTCGACTGCCAGCGTTAAATAAGCACTGAAACGAAAATTCCCACGCGAGAACTAAGCAGACAAGATTCGACTAGACGATCGTTGATCTGAAAACTTTCATCAATTGTGAGCTAAAATTTATTCTCCGGAGCACACAAATGCATAAAGTCCAACTTCCCTTCGAACGACGTTAAATGAAGCAACTGAACCGATATAACAAACCAAAACCACTGAGAAATACACTGAACACAAAAAAAACATCAACAAAAACATAGTCAACAGAAGATTGGAATTGAGTAAAAGAACAAGGAAACCAAAAAAAAAACTTTCGAAGAAAAAATTAATGATTTTTTAAAAGACATTGAAAGATAATGATTTTATTTAAAATTATTTAATGTTCTTTGAATTTCAAGAACTGTTCATGATTGGCCCTTTTTTGTTAAAAGTAACCCAAATTAAGAAAATTGGATCAATGGATTTTTTTTCCGCTGAAAAGCTGAATGTTAAAATCCATTTCTAAACTACAGGGTGTTTCAAATAAACTGTAATGTTATAAAAGCTTCTCATTTCATAACTGTTGATCAGTTCGACTTCAAATTCGGTGATATTATGTAGAACAGGCGGAGATTTGATAAAACTCAAAAACTGCGTTGATGAATTGAACTCGATAGTGAATACCCGCGATTTTCCAACTATTTCACGCTTCCACGCAACAAAAAAATTTTTAAACTATTTGTTCATACGTAAATGAAAACAACGAAATGGTTTTCACAGTAAACGAAGAAAAACTGATCATTTGTTTGTTTGCAATTTATGAATCCCCAACTGAAGTTCGGAGAAGATATATCAATGAATATTACATTGCCCCACGCGTTGCATCAACACTTCAACTTACTCAGTTTATCAGAGTGTGGAAACGGTTCCAAGAAAGAGGCGGGTTATCGAAATTTCAAGGGCAGCATCGAAAAGGAACGGGGTTACCAGGAACCGATGAAGCGAATGCCAGTATTATAAGACACTTTGATTTTCATCCTAAAGATTCAAAAACTAAAGCAGCAGCTGATTTGGGGTTGAGTCGCACCACAACTTGGAGAGTCGCGAGAGCTGCCAAAATGAAGCCCTACAAAGTGCTCAAAACACACCAAATTAAAGAGACGAACTTCGGCTGGAGACTTACTTTTGGTGTCTGGTGCTTGAGCAAGATTGAAACAGCGGCAGATTTCACATCACGGGTGATTTTCTCAGACGAAAAGTGGTGGGTGCTCGACAGCTCTCCAAATTCTCAAAACGATAGGAGATGGAGTTTAGTTAACCCCAGAGAATACGCGGAGTGCAAGTACCAGGGCAAAAAGAAAGTGATGTGCTGGATGGGTTTCCTTCAAGGAGCTGTTCTTGGCCCGTTTTGGTTCGTAGACGAACAGCAACGACCAATAACACTGAACCAGTTTTCGTATCTGAACATGCTGGAACACGACCTCTGGCCAGTCCTTCGAGAACGACGAAACTTGAGGCGCATATGGTTTATGCAAGACGGAGCCACATGCCACTGCACGGGACGCGTACTCAGTTGGCTTGGGACAAAGTTCAACGACAGAATTATAAGTAGACGAACCCCTATACCCTGGCCACCTCAGAGTCCGGACCTGAATCCCCTGGATTTTTGGCTGTGGGGTCATCTGGGGAAAATTGTTCATGGTGCGAATCCACGAAGTATTGACGAACTCATGCAAACTGTAGAAGATGCCCGAAATACAATAACGCCCGATAATATCGAAGAGTCATTGAGAAATTTGACGAAAAGATTACAAAGCTGTGTTGCTCAAAACGGCGGACACTTTCAGCATCTTTTATAAAACAATTTTATCAGATATTCAGAAAAAATTGTGTATTTATCTCTTCTCAAAAAAAAGTTATAGCGTTTTATAAAATTACAGTTTATTTGAAACACCCTGTAGAAATTTCAGCTTTCGTAATCGGACAGCATAATTTGTCTACCTTTTAGCAAAGAACTTGAATTCAACCCAAAAAATGCATATATACGCGAGTCCATCTATAAATTCATCAATATGTATTGCGCACTTCAATAGTTATTAGAGCCTTTTAAGACTTCCTGAAAAACAATCATCTAGACATATATAAGTGAAAAACACTTCGTTCTTTTACACTTACAATCTAACCGTTTTCCTGTAGTATGGGTGTTACCTCTAGGCCAGATGCGCTGAAACAGTTATCGAATTTCAAAGTTTTGAAGCAAATTGAAATACGTAGCTTCTCTCGTGGAAACTACTAGAGGTTAATTTATTCAGTGATCATAGGTACAAATTGTCGAACATGGTCTACAACAATAATTTACAAAACCACTTGGACGCCAATCGAGCAACACTGCTCTTTATAACGGCCCATATAAAGCAAATCACTTTTGTTGGTAGGAATAAAACTTTAACGTTCATTGATCATTTAGAAAGAAAAATCAGGCTCATAATTTAGAAAAACAGGCTCATTAGCTCAATATTGTCTTTTATGAAAAATTTACATGTGTTCTTCTAAAAACTGATTTTCTCTTCATCGCTGAATTCTAGAAATACATCTCCAAGGATGCCACTCAATTTGACAAAGTTGTACATTTTAGTTGGGGCAGAGGCGAAGCTGCGCTTCGCAAACACTAGCCAGAACACGAGAAAAAGCAGCATTATAAAGTGAAATACAAAAAATAGAAATAAGCCTCGAATTAGTTAAAATTCGGCTAGGTCTCGGATTCGATATGCGACCTAGAGATTATGAGTCTCACACAAAAACCACTCAGCCACGGAACTTTAATAAATCACAAACACTTGCCACAAATAAAGCAGAGAACAGATGCTATGAAATTTTCCTAAGCTACAGATCGTGATTATGGCAAAAGTCCCACCAAATAAGTGAATACTTCCAATGAACACTTTTATTTGCGGAAGCTCGCTAGTGTAAACAGGACAAAAAATTATGGTACCCGGTTGCAGCACTTTCGCTCGTCGCCAGAGTAAATACACAAAAATTTATACTGAAAGAACATTTAAGTAACAATTAAATTAGAAAAATATAGCAATCAAAAAATAGAACACTTTCACTTTATTTCACTACGATATAGCACGGGATAAGGTTTTGGTTAAACTAAATTTTCAATTTTATCACATCGAAAGCATGTGCTGATAAGAAGTCATGATTCTTTGCGACGGCAAAAGGAAGAGTCATAACTCCCGAAAACCAAGCAACCATCAGATTCTGGGGACATTTGAGCATCTATTTTCGTTAAATTTAAAATTTACCATTATGCGGACACTTAATAATACTTGTGACAGATAACATGTGCTCTAGATTATCAATAACACTGTTTCACTATTCTAAATTGTATGCTTTATGAGCAAAAATTGCAACTAAACTACTGGAACTATTTCAATTTGAGCCTTTACTGGCTTAGTCATCGAAGAAACGCAGCGATTCCTCTGCTGCAGGTAACACTTCATTAATCATACTTGTGCAATACATCGCCTCCCATTTCTGTTGGACAATACTCGCAAAGCTAGACACCTGTTTCATATTGCCCAGTTTAATGCTCCATGAAGACAAGTTGCGCTGATGCTGTTTACTGGATGCCTTCGTGGCAGCACTCATGGTCACAGCTTCTGGCCTGGCCTTCTCGAAAAAATGAATTGTGAGCACGTTGCGTCTGGATCTGTACCTCGTGAGGCTTTTCACGTCCCCAATAGTCCTCGAGTCGAGAAGAACAAACGGTTTAGCTTTGATTGGATCTTGGGTTGCATGAACAACAAAATAGTTCACTGCACAAATGAAAATACCCACTTCAGTTGCTGAGAGAAAGCACAGAACATTCTCATACGCGGAAAACCTGCACATCCAAGACTGCTCTTTGATGGCAGTCAAAACTGATTCAGGAAAGTAGTGGCCCAGAGTTGGATGCTGAGGGAGCGAGGACACTGACACGCCCTTCAGCTTGCGTAGCACCAGCTTCTCCATCATTTTTACATCTGCTGTGAGGATATTGTCCGATCGACAGTATTTGACGTAATTGTACTTGAGACACCAACGCACCACAACATCTACGAGATCACTCACCAGTTCTCGACTGAACGCCACAAACACATACGTTTTGTTGCTGTCCTGGAACTTGAAGTGAACACTTTGATTGCTCAAGCCATTCTCAAACAGCCACAATGATTCGAATTGGAAGGACCCGATAGAGACAAACCAGGAATCGATATTTTCCAACTGTACCGCCGCATCGTCCGTAGATACAATGTGGAAAAAGCGAATATTGCAGGAAGTAATCACAATTACACATGGGAACATTTCTGGGTGATCACTTGTACTGAGGTAGCCCTTGAACAATTGCTGGAAATCTTCGTACTCCTCGAACAACTGGAAAAGATGCAAGTGCAGACGATGTTCCAGCTGCACAATCGGCTCAACAAACCCATCCATTTCCTTCCGCAGCGCAAGTAAATCACTCCCATCTTGCGTAAAGCTGCTGGGATAGAATGACTGTGAGTTCCTGCTATCTCTATTCGAGCTGAAACTCTCTCTGAGTGCATCAGCGTGCCTCTTTTTCAGCCTCATTCTAACAACCACATGTTCTTTTTCACCATCAGCGCCTCCATACGCACTAAAGTAATCTGAGTTTTCGTCAACTTGAGACGCAATGTTAATGTTTGACGTCCTCGCTTTGTTGACGCTGCTCGAAGCATCGCCCTGTATAGCATCATTCTTAAATGATGTAACATTTTTTTCACAATTCGGACAAAAGCCATTTTCTGTCGACTCTGGAAAGACGATAACCGAAGAGTTACACTCCGCACATTTCGGATTGATTGACAAGCAAACTTGATGTTGCTTCTTTGATTTCTCCACAAAATCAAGTCCATTTGGACTGGCATCCGAAAACCCAAAAATCACTGTTGGCCGCAACTGAGAAGGGAAACGGATTTTGACGAGTATCATTCCAGCTTCATATTTTGGGGTCAATTCAATCGCTGAAATAGTTTTCAACTCTACCTCATGCGAAATAGTTCCGTCAGCGCTGGTGGATATCACCATGTCTCTGAATAAAGAAAGCGTACATCGCTTCATACTCTTTTCGTTATGAGCCACAAACTTAGAGCTTTCTTCCTCTGTAAGCAAATATTCAAAAGCCTGCACTGAGCTCAGTTCGACAACGACCGATGACCTAGTTCGGTTATGTTCAAACCCTATGTCCGATTTGGACTCAAGTGATAGCTTCTGTTTTACAGCAGCACCCGATGATCGACTTCCAAGTTCTGAGTCGGCGTCTGGACTGCTTCTGTCTATCGCAGGTGCACTTGTACTCTGTCCACTGCTGAACTGTCCACCACCATCTGTGGACGAAGCTCGCGCTGACTCGGACTTGGATTTGACAGATGACAGTGTCGAATGATCATCGGGGGGAATGAGATCATTCAGAATCCCCTGGATGCCATATCCTCCCATGTCGTTTCTTACATCTCTGTATTTGTTCACCAATTTATTCACCTCAGCTTCGTCGGCGAACATAACCGGACTTTCTATTCCTTTTGAGAACGACTCGGGTTTGTTTCTTTTGCCCGGCAAAATTGGCGTAGATGTCTTAAATGGAGAAGAGCTGCTACTGATTTTAGGTCCCAGTGGAATTTTCAGACCATTTGTTGCATTTCTTGAAACATGAGAGGTTGCAGTGTTTGCTCGCTTTGTTATTCCTTTAGAATCTTTTCTATCGGCTTTAGAACTTGAAGGCGACTCTTTACTGCCTAAAGCACAAAAAGCCAAAAGTAGTACTGCAGTTGGCGGGCGGGGGGCTATTACAAATTGAGACTCACTTTCATCGTGAGGGAATAATACGTATAGTCGAGCTTGCTCATATTTTCAAGGAATATCAGCCTCTGCAGACCAGGCAAAATTAATCTACACGCCTATAATCAGTTCCATTCAAAAGAACATCATGTGTTCATTTTGAACAGTCAGAAGCTTACCCTCAGTCCTCCTCAAAATGACCAGTTAAAGCTATCTAACTGTACGATAGAACAAACAACCGTTTATCATTAAAAATATACTTTCTCATGTAAGCAATTCGATTGGACGGCCTCACAAAATCATCTGGATGAAAGGAAAACGGAAATCAGTGGCAGGAGACAAGTCAGCTGATAGAAACCACAGAAAACTATTTATCCGAAAAAACGCGGATATTTTTTGGCGCTAGGACTTTTGACCACATACAATAAACAGTCCATTCCGTTCGTCCGTTTGGAGGTCCTTAGGTACCTCAAAAACCGTGCAATGAGCACTAATTACACCAAAAGAAGTTAAGCAGAAGAGTATTTCTTTCAGATGCGAAGCTTCATTTCGTTAATTCTAAGTACATGACCACACCATCTTAGTCGCATGTTTCGCAGGTGACAGTCCAAGGATGACCAAAGGTTTGCTGCTGCGCGGATTGTGGTGGTGTCTTGATCAGGGCGTGCTTCGAGGTAGCATCTTGTTGCGAGGTCAGATTTTTTGACAGTCCATGTTTCCGCAGCATATAACAGTGTTCACTTTTTACTAATCAAATGTCAAAGCACACGACATTATACTGCTACCGCAGCCTACCGATTCAAAAGCTCCACCAAAACAAAATTCGAGGCATTTTCGAAATAACGAATTTTTTCTCCAAATGTTTCTTAAAAAACAAAACATTAATTATTAAAAACATCCAATTAAATTAAAAATATCCAGTTTGATTTCGAAATCATGTTGTCAATTGAAATAAGCCAATGGAAAGAAGGCACATAGGATTGAAAAAAGATCCCAATTAGGTCCATTGGATCAGTCAGTAAAAGAAAGGCATCGGCAGCAAAAACACCTTTGAAACTAATTTTCTGGAGGCTGCTGTTTTTAACTGACTAGGAAAAAATCAATCTCGCCCTGTAAGTAAATAGAAAGTAAGAGAAAGTTGTTTACGAAGAAGAACTAACTTCTCATCGAACCAATTCTACAGCGTAGTACAGAACAATAAAAACACAAAGGCGAAGCTGGGCTTCGCAAACTCTTGCGAGAACACGGCCAAAAAGCATCTCTAGAATGTGCAATAAGAAAAAATGGAAATGAGCCGCGAATTAGCAAAAACTCGGCTAGGTCTAGAATTCGATCTGCGACCTACTGCAATCAAGAGATTTTCAGTCTCACGGTCTATCCACTTAGCCACTCAAGCTTCACAACCGACAAACACTAGTCATGAATAAAGCAGCAAAAGTGGCACCAAATAAAATTAGACTCAATTTTGCAAATACCAATTTGGATTATAACAAACGGAAGGCATCCCCACTACCTTTGCATGTAACAAATCGCAAAGCATAAAGCCTCATTATGTAAAAAATTATGCATTTCAAAAAATGCTAGATATATTGAGTTAGAAAATTTCTGAAATCGAGTTTTCATTTTTGTTTGAAACAAATCACTTCTTTCGGTCATTTGATGAAGTAAAATGCATCAACTATGCTACTATTACTACTATTCGAATGTCAAAGCTCATGCTACGAAAAAGTTGCAAGGGTTCCCCAAAAGTGGCACCAATATTTGCGACTTAGGTTGGAAAAAAAGAAAGTTCGTACTAGTACACTCACTTCGCAAGTGTAAATAGGCAACTCTGAAAAGACAGCTGGCGAACCCACAAGGTCTGCTAAATGCAACATTGGCTTTGTTTGTTTTACACAAGCTGCATCAGCATTATACAAAGCTGATTTAAATTATCCGGACCGAAAGCATTAAACTTGAAAATTAGAACGCGTTTTTCTTAAATTGCTACGATAGTCGGTTGCTGTGCAAGTAGCACAGAATGTTCCGACCACAATCGTAAAAAGCTACAAAATAACGTTTTTAATTTTCCAATTAGCGTCGTTTCTTCTGCTTGGTAGATTATAGAACTATACATAGAGCCAAGAATGCGCTTAATGGAGCTTCCAAAGCTGGTTTACTTTTTAGTTAAATCAAGCTTTTTGTTTAGCTTAAAACGCCAATATTTAAATATAATGAACGTCACTCAATCGCTTTACTCAATCGAAATTAGACTAAAACTCTAAACAGTTTTTGAAGGATAATGACTAAAAAAATCATTGAATTTTTGATTACCAAAATGGCATTAAAAACCCCCAACAACTAATTTTGCTCGATAAAAAATAATTACGCATACTTAAGCTATTGTAAACGGCCTAAACTAAGCATAAATAAGCCTGCTCGCATGGTTTTCGTCGCTCGAAATTTAAGACCACTTTTAAGACGAAAAAACCAAAAAATTTAAGACCAGTTATTCTCAACACTGAGAAAAATTTTGGAAATTGTTTTAATGTCGTTCGAATCACGATTGAAAGTGCTTTGATATGATATATCACTCGACCCTTTCCGATGTTTATTTGTAGTACCTGATTTCGCGTAGAAAACAAAAAACTGAAACAAACCCACCCGCATACAAAATTCCTCCACATTTTTCAGAAAGCACGAGTAGTCAAAATCATGTGATGAATCCTGGGAATTTTTCCCGTAAAAAAGGCTAAAACTTAAACACTAGATAAGACAATTTTTGTACTCGCATGTTCAAGTGTCAGAAATCGTCATAATTTTGCGTTGAAAAACCGTTATAAGGGTGTGTAAACATACTGTGTACTGTACCTTTTCTGGACATCTGTGGCACAAAGTCTTCCACGATGGATAGGAACGTATTCTGATTGAGACGAGAAATATTTCTATCGGTAGATTGGACGTCTGAGCTTGAACTTGCAGCCATAGTCGTGGTTGCTCGACTGCCTCCTATTTTTTTACTTAATTGCTCAATATGAGTACAAGTTACTCTGACATCGTCTAGCACCGGCAGATTCTGTAAAGCCCTGGATGAAAATCTGTACAGAGTTTTCAAAAAATGGTTTTTGTTTGTGCAAATTGGGTTGCCAGCCAGTAAAACATGTTTCACTATGTGCAGCTTCTCTAGATCGGCGAGGTTCGAGTGGCGAGCAATGAAGTTATCTCTGACATCGAGGAATTCGAGGTAGTACATGTGACCAATGCCGTGTAGAGAAAGGAGTCTGTTGGAGCAGAGCACCAACTTGCTCAAGTGGTTGTACACAGTCGGTGCAAGAGAGGGTACAGTCGTAAGACGATTGAAGCTGGCGTCGAACTTCTTCATCACCGGCAGGTATGTCAGGTGGTCATAGAAACTTTCCAACTGGTTGTAGCTAAATATGAAAGTGTTGAGATTGGTACTAGCAAGCATGGCCATGCTGTCATCCACACCCTCCACCCAGTTATGACCCAAGTCCAACACTTCCAGAGAACTCCACTTCGGATGGCTCTGTCTGTCCGCCATGTCTAAACGTCATATTTCCCAGTTGCGCTTAATTAAAAAAAACTAAATTACAAAAGAGGCCCTTCCGTTTAGTTACTCTATGTGCACGAGCTGGATAGGGCCATACCAGCGTTATTAAAATGCATATATATATATCAGCAAGCTGTTTCAATTTATCAATGAGGTCATAAATCAGCATTAAATGCATCGTCGTAATGTTAATTTATCTTAGCCGTCCTTCCTCTATAATAGCGCTAATGGAAAGTCAATAAAATGAACTTTAAGCAGCGATCTGCATCACCTTAAACATAGTATACAGCTCCTCAGGAGCGCGAAGCTTATTTTAGTTCTTATGTAATTTATCGATTCTGGATAGCTTTTTTTGTCTTTTTTCACTTAGTTTTTCGGCCAATCGTTGCATCGTCCGGGTGGCTGTTGGAGCAGCGCCACCGGTGCATCCGAAAACTAACAGTCAGAAGCTGCTTTGCTCTACGTTTGAAACTCTTTGCTGATATTTGGAGTTCTTCAGCGTTTCGTGATATTTATATGCGTCTTTATGCAGTTTTCGCAATGTTTTGGCATGGGCGTTGAAAATTTTCACATCGAAGAAAGCGCGGCTAAATCGTGAACCCCAGAGTTCGTTTGCTTTAATGTCAATTAGTGCCTCATCTTGAGTTGTAGTTGAATTATTGACAAAGCTTTCGCCTTGCAACGGCTGAAGTTTCGGCTCAATCTCGACGTCATGGCAAACCTCGTTCATGAGGTTGGCGAATGTGTCTCTGATTTCATTGTGTCTTAAGTGTGTGTGTAACAGCCCTTTGCACAGTGTAGCGCATGTGTCAAGTTCAAATTAGCACCACATGCACATGTGAGTGGGGTTTTGGTCGGTTCCCAACCGTATCTTAAGTAAATACCATCTACCTTACCGATTAGGTTAGGTATTAATTGTTCTTTGTTAATCTTTTCACATATTTCTTAGTTTTCCATAGTGTAAGGCGTTGTCCTGGTAAGAAATGAAAGTTTTTCTTGAACTCCTTTAGTATAGCAGGCATAAACGTATTGAGGGGAGGTTTTAGCGATTTCATTAATTTTTTCAAAATTTTGATTTGCTCATTCTGTTGAAATTCGAGGAACTTTTTACTTTCAGATTCTGTTCTTACAACTGAACCAAGCACTCGGGCGCCTGCCTTTATAGTGATTCCTGTATTTTCGAAGATTTTCTCAGCTTCACCGAGTTTTTCATCTTTGACAATGAGTTGGCATTTGGATGCTTTAACATGGTAGCCAAAAAATTTACCTTGTGATACAATTTTATCGAGGACGGTTCGTAGATTGCTTAAATTACCGACTGCGTTTCCGTCGTCTGCGTACCATTTCTGGGTTACATTGTCTACTGATAAAAGTTTTATGAGGGGTATTATGGCTAGAAATTACATGGCCATTGCTAGTGGATCCCACTGGGTTGTTCCTTCTTGAGAGTAGATGTTTTTTTTTGTTAACGAACAGTTATGATGGATTGGAGTAAGAGTTCTTAATCGATGTTAAAAGAAAAGGGCAGGTTTTTTCGATGTTTTTAATGCCAGCTTTCGCTTTAGCGAGTTGAAAGAATTTTCAGCATCTATCAGTAAAACAGCATCGGCGGAAATTTTGCTGTAATGATCTCTTAGCGTGTGGATCGCATATTCAATGCCACATTTTTGTCCTAGGCAGAATTGGTAGTTTGAACCGAGCGACATGAGTTCGTTTTTTAAGCATTTGCTTATTGTTCGCCTAACGCATAACTTCTCCTATGCCAATGGGTCTTACTCCTGGATTCTTATCTAAGGGTAATAATCTACATGCGTTATATGGTTGCCAATAGAATTCGTATTAGACCAAACTAATTCGAATTCTTCGCAAATACAGAAGAACTTTTAATCCTTGCGCTTAATGCTAATTTTCAGTTTACGCTAGTCTAATCCAGACTTGCCGCCTTATTTTTTGACATTTTTTGACAAAATTTTAACAGCGCGGTCTGAATAATCACCAGGATAATCCTTTTCAAGTTTTGATACTCCTTTTCAAAGCAGTTTTGTCGTCAAATAATGAGGGTAAAACATGGTTAGCTGGGCCAAAAGAAAAATCAAAGCAAACCTTTAACGTTTCCACGTAGTTCAGATATAGAATAGAGACATTGATGCACGTTGAGCTGTCGCACCATGCCACTAATCACTGCCAAATTCTCGACAAGAAGCAAGGGAACTCTGTGCAGAGTAACTACTTGCAAGCATCGGAACATCTGTAGGTCAATTGTTCCTCTAAGAGATGAGCTCCGATTTTGCTCAGCTCCCAGATCATAGTGTGTAAGTTTTAAATCAATCACTCGCTCGAAAACCCTTTTGATTTGCAGAGCTTGTTGCCTTGTTTTCATCCACCTCGAGTTGCGCATGAACTCTAGCTTCTCTCGACTCCTGAAGAAAACAGGGGCTGTCAGAGTCAGTCTGGCTTGACCACATGCAAACAAGTTTTCATTCGTGAGCAACAACTGGAAAAAACTATTCAGCTCTTTGTCTGAGCCCCCACCAGAAATCCAGCGCATCATGAAGTTGGTCAACTGAAAAAACTGTACATAGTAATCTGGAAATGAAATTTATGAACAATAGAGAACCGGAACAACATTGAAATAAGCATGTTCGTTTGGCAATACAGAAAAGACAAAGTGACCAAAATAAACTGTACAGAAAATGATATTGGTAGAAATGAAAATTAAATCAACACGCCATAAGAAAAATTACAGAAACATATGCGTTATTCTGAAGCTTAATTTTCAGGTTCCTATAGCGCATCACGAAACCCAATAGAATATTAAACCTGTTAGTAACAATTTCATGTAAATTTTGAAAACGCAAAATAACCATCTTTCAAAATTAGATGTTTCAATCCGCAATCGATCCCAAGGGCAAGAAATGTTTAACTCTGATTTGGAAAATTAAAAATAACAAAAACATGAGTGCGAAGGGATGGTTCTGAAGATTGCGTTTTGAAATGTAATTCGAACTCATCATTCCACCAGCGAATAAGGTTTGTGCAAGAGCAAAACTGTACACAAAAGAATATGTATGGCGGCAACTGTTCAGAGGAAGTAATCTGGTAAAGGTTTTTTGTTGGGCACTGCTCTATGCTCCTGTGGTGCAGCCTCAAAAATTGTGAAGTATCTTTGTAAATTGTCGTCCAATTCCAGGATGGCGGCCACATTGCCGCATCTGTAACAGTAGTTGGGGGCACTCCAGACCGTAAGGACAGATTCCCCAAAATGCCACTTGTATCCTTCCATCACCAGCTGATGTGCTCTGCAGATGAGTTCAATGCTGTTCTCGTGATTGAATGTCTGCACAATGTCACTTCCGAAAAGGAAACCAGCTCCCCTAGGACTGCAACCCCATCCCGTCGTATCATCGGGATCAGACCACAGAAGGTCGCACATTGGTCCGTCGTGAGGTACCTCCTGCTTCCTGTCCAGTGCTCGAATCTGGTTCAGATTCTGTATCGACGGTGATAAACCTCCGTGCACACAAAAAATTCTGTCGTTTATGACGGCAGACAGGCTGAGAAAATCGAATATTTCCGTGCAGTATAACCATACAGATATCGAACCATACTTGCGAAGGCATTCGTCATAAAAACCATAAACTTGCGTTATCTGTCTGCTTTCGTGGTTTCCTCTTATCAAAGTAATTCTATCTGGATAACGCACCTTTAGGGCTATAAGTAACAGGAAAGTCTCTACACTGTAAAAACCCCTGTCGACGAAGTCACCCAAGAACAAATAGTTTGTATCAGGAACATCCCCGCCTACTTTGAAGAGCTCCTTTAGGTCATAGAATTGACCATGGATGTCGCCGCAAACTGTAACCGGGGCCTCAACTTTTTGTACATTGGACTCTTCGATTAGGATATCCCTCGCCTTCGCACATAGCGCTTTGACTTGCGCTTCTGTAATGATCTCACACCTCTTGAGCATTTCAATTTGCTGGTCCAAGTCACTAGTGTCATTCATTGCTACTCTAGAACAAAAACGAAAGACAGTTTTTTATAGCTACTTGCTCCTGAGGTGAAAATTAGCCGTAAATGCAACAAAAAAGTGTATATGGCCCAATCCAAACATTGATCAAGATGAAACGATTAGAAAAACAGCTAAATGTTAAATTGCCTAATTGTTATGATAAACTTATTAAATAGTTTCATGTGATATGGTACGCTCATAATGGTACGCGTGACAGAAGGCCAGGGCCGGGATTTTAGAGACAATCTCGTCAAGCCGCGATACTACCCCTTTACCCGCACATCCCCGCCTTGTAACCGCTTTCATTTCTTTTTTGCTATTTGTTTCTTAAATCGATTTCACAATCTATTATTTCTCTTGTTTTACCTCTTTTATACCCTGTTTACTGAATGTCCTTGCCGAAGTACAGGCCGAAGGGGCTACCCAAGTGGAGCAGGAAACTGGTATTAGGAACCCCAAGGACTAAACAGGGTACAAAAATGCAAAAAGAAATCTATATGGCCCAACCAAAACATTAATCAAAAGGCTAATTTTCATGTCAGGAGCAACGAATAATTGGTAAAACAATCACCCAATGTATAAAATCAGACCTTAAAAATCTCGGAAAAAAACCAACTCTGCTTAGGCCAGAAGTGTAGAATCGAATATGCTATCCTCAGCTTGAGGAACGAGTTTGAGAAAACGGAAACGGACGTCATTCTACTTATTGATGCAGAAAATGCCTTCAACTCGCTCAATAGAGAACTTGCTCTAAAAAACTAAACTACAAAAGAGGCCCTTCCGTTTAGTTACGCTAAGTGCAAGAGCTGGATAGGGCCATACCAGCGTTATTAAAATGCATATATATCAACAAGCTGTTTCAATTTATCAATGAGGTCATAAATCAGCATTAAATGCATCGTCGTAATGTTAATTTATCTTAGCCGCCCTTCTATAATAGCTCTATAATAGCGCTAATGGAAAGTCAATAAAATGAAATTTATGCAGCGATCTGCATCACCTTATACATAGTATAGAGCTCCTCAGGAGCGCGAAGCTTATTTTAGTTCTTATGTAATTTATCGATTCTGGACAGCTTTTTTGTCTTTTTTCACTTAGTTTTTCGGCCAATCGTTGCATCGTCCGCGTGGCTGTTGGAGCAGCGCCACCGGTGCATCCAAAAACTAACGGTCAGAAGCATTTTTGCTCTACGTTTGAAACTCTTTGCTGATATTTGGAGTTCTTCAGCGTTTCGTGATATTTATATGCGTCTTTATGCAGTTTTCGCAATGTTTCGGCATGGGGGTTGAAAATTTTTACATCGAAGAAAGCGCGGCTAAATCGTGAACCCCAGAGTCCGTTTGCTTTAAGGTCAATTCGTGCCTCATCTTGAGTTGTAGTTGAATTATTGACAAAGCTTTCGCCTTGCAACGGCTGAAGTTTCGGCTCAATCTCGACGTCATGGCAAACCTCTTTCATGAGGTTGGCGAAAGTGTCTCTGATTTCATTGTGTCTTATGTCTGCGTGACCACCCTTTGCATGGTGTAGCGCATGTGCCAAGTAAAAATCAGCACCACATGCACATGTGAGTGGGGTTTTGGTCGGTTCCCAACCGTATCTTAAGTAAATACCATCTCTGAATTCTGATTTATTCAGGTTGAAGTTATATCTGTTCAATGGTAAAGCGTTGAGCCAGTTAGAGGCTCCGTTTTCAGAGGCCAGATCGATTGCGTATTTATCTGCTTCATCTAAGGAGTTCATGAGGTTTGTTTTCTTTCGTTTTGTTCTATCCGATTTCAATTTTTTGATTTTCGTACATATTTTTTCTTGCTGTGTTATTGCTGTAACAGGATCTTGAGAATCCAGTACTAGTGATGTTTCCTTAGACCATTCTAGATAGCTTTCATGATCGGATGGCAGCTTGATGTTAAGGCCACCCATTTTAAGGGGTAAGGAAGATATCTCACGGAACTGGGGGTTCAATGTGTCTTTACCGATTAGGTTAGGTATTAATTGTTCTTTGATGATCTTTTCACATGTTTCTAAGTTTTCCATAGTGTAAGGCGTTGTCCTGGTAAGAAATGAAAACTTTTCTTGAACTCCTTTAGTATAGCAGGCATAAACGTCTTGAGGGGAGGTTTTAGCGATTTCATTAATTTTTTCAAAATTTTGATTTGCTCATTCTGTTGAAATTCGAGGAACTTTTTACTTTCAGATTCTGTTCTTATAACTGAACCAAGCACTCGGGCGCCTGCCTTTATAGTGATTCCTGTATTTTCGAAGATTTTCTCAGCTTCACCGAGTTTTTCATCTTTGACAATGAGTTGGCATTTGGATGCTTTAACATGGTAGCCAAAAAATTTACCTTGTGATACAATTTTATCGAGGACGGTTCGTAGATTGCTTAAATTACCGACTGCGTTTCCGTCGTCTGCGTACCATTTCTGGGTTACATTGTCTACTGATAAAAGTTTTATGAGGGGTATTATGGCTAGAAATTACATGGCCATTGCTAGTGGATCCCACTGGGTTGTTCCTTCTTGAGAGTAGATGTTTTTTTTTGTTAACGAACAGTTATGATGGATTGGAGTAAGAGTTCTTAATCGATGTTAAAAGAAAAGGGCAGGTTTTTTCGATGTTTTTAATGCCAGCTTTCGCTTTAGCGAGTTGAAAGAATTTTCAGCATCTATCAGTAAAACAGCATCGGCGGAAATTTTGCTGTAATGATCTCTTAGCGTGTGGATCGCATATTCAATGCCACATTTTTGTCCTAGGCAGAATTGGTAGTTTGAACCGAGCGACATGAGTTCGTTTTTTAAGCATTTGCTTATTGTTCGCCTAACGCATAACTTCTCCTATGCCAATGGGTCTTACTCCTGGATTCTTATCTAAGGGTAATAATCTACATGCGTTATATGGTTGCCAATAGAATTCGTATTAGACCAAACTAATTCGAATTCTTCGCAAATACAGAAGAACTTTAATCCTTGCGCTTAATGCTAATTTTCAGTTTACGCTAGTCTAATCCAGACTTGCCGCCTTATTTTTTGACATTTTTTGACAAAATTTTAACAGCGCGGTCTGAATAATCACCAGGATAATCCTTTTCAAGTTTTGATACTCCTTTTCAAAGCAATTTTGTCGTCAAATAATGAGGGTAAAACATGGTTAGCTGGGCCAAAAGAAAAATCAAAGCAAACCTTTAACGTTTCCACGTAGTTCAGATAAAGAATAGAGACATTGATGCACGTTGAGCTGTCGCACCATGCCACTAATCACTGCCAAATTCTCGACAAGAAGCAAGGGAACTCTGTGCAGAGTAACTACTTGCAAGCATCGGAACATCTGTAGGTCAATTGTTCATCTAAGAGATGAGCTCCGATTTTGCTCAGCTCCCAGATCATAGTGTGTAAGTTTTAAATCAATCACTCGCTCGAAAACCCTTTTGATTTGCAGAGCTTGTTGCCTTGTTTTCATCCACCTCGAGTTGCGCATGAACTCTAGCTTCTCTCGACTCCTGAAGAAAACAGGGGCTGTCAGAGTCAGTCTGGCTTGACCACATGCAAACAAGTTTTCATTCGTGAGCAACAACTGGAAAAAACTATTCAGCTCTTTGTCTGAGCCCCCACCAGAAATCCAGCGCATCATGAAGTTGGTCAATTGAAAAAACTGTACATAGTAATCTGGAAATGAAATTTATGAACAATAGAGAACCGGAACAACATTGAAATAAGCATGTTCGTTTGGCAATACAGAAAAGACAAAGTGACCAAAATAAACTGTACAGAAAATGATATTGGTAGAAATGAAAATTAAATCAACACGCCATAAGAAAAATTACAGAAACATATGCGTTATTCTGAAGCTTAATTTTCAGGTTCCTATAGCGCATCACGAAACCCAATAGAATATTAAACCTGTTAGTAACAATTTCATGTAAATTTTGAAAACGCAAAATAACCATCTTTCAAAATTAGATGTTTCAATCCGCAATCGATCCCAAGGGCAAGAAATGTTTAACTCTGATTTGGATTAAAAAATAACAAAAACATGAGTGCGAAGGGATGGTTCTAAAGATTGCGTTTTGAAATGTAATTCGAACTCATCATTCCACCAGCGAATAAGGTTTGTGCAAGAGCAAAACTGTACACAAAAGAATATGAATCCTTGCGCTTAATGCTAATTTTCAGTTTACGCTAGTCTAATCCAGACTTGCCGCCTTATTTTTTGACATTTTTTGACAAAATTTTAACAGCGCGGTCTGAATAATCACCAGGATAATCCTTTTCAAGTTTTGATACTCCTTTTCAAAGCAGTTTTGTCGTCAAATAATGAGGGTAAAACATGGTTAGCTGGGCCAAAAGAAAAATCAAAGCAAACCTTTAACGTTTCCACGCAGTTCAGTTGTGCTTAAGTTTCAGTTTTTCTTCTACTTCCTTTTGTAAAGCGCATTTGAAGCGCCTTCCCTTCGTTATTTAGGCCATCCAGGTCTCCGTCTTGCCATTTCTTAGCGCCTTGCTATTGTCTTGGATAAAGATCCGTCATTTTCGGACTTTGTTTTGCACAGTAGTAAGGTGGAAAGATCATTGCTGCCTGCAATGCGAAGGTATTTTCGTTGTTTTCTATTAGGCTGTTCAGAGTTCTATTGAGGGTTTCAATGAAAATATAAGCAACTTTATTTTTTGATAAGATCATACAGACTGGTTTCCAGTGGACCACTTCGGAGTATATTTTCCTTGTGGTTTCTATGAGTTCTGGACAGGGGTTTGACCATGGGTCTTGTGTTGTTCAAGTTTCTAGGAGGGTTCTCTTGAGTTTTGTGAGTGTGGGGCAGTGGAAGGGTGAGGGTGATTTTGGGGGAGAGTGGTTGTAGCTAGGGTTGGGGGATTGCATTCATGCATGTCGTTAGTTGAATGAAATTGGGAGGTGCAGCGATGACAGCTGAAACCGTGGTAATGATCACAGCTGCGGGCTAGGCCGCTGCATTTTACATGAACGTAGCCTGGGCATGTGAAGCACCAAG